AATAATAATAATAATAATAATAATAATAATAATAATAATAATAATAATAATAATAATAATAATAATAAGTAGTAGTAGTAGTAGTAGTAGTAAGTAGTAGTAAAAACTTAAAAGTTCCTAACCAAGGACCTAAGAGCTATTAAGGTAGCATCTGAATATATAGACAGTTCTGAGTAATTATTATTGCTGTTGTTGTTATTAAATTTATTTGTCACTTATCTTGCCCAGGTAAGCCACAACCTTCTCCCACCATTGGTGAGGCTGCATCTCAAACACAGAAAGTGTGATTGCTGAGCCGGTCTACAGATCTGTAGCGAGACCCCCGCTAAAAGGACACATCGGGTTGGTATCAGCCTCCTCTACCGTTGGTCAGTTGGTATCTCTTTGCGTTGCTCCGCAGCCAGCTAATGGCGAGGTGGGCCGACTCCTTCATGACGTCCCCCAATTGCCCGGTGAGGGTCAACTGGCCTTCCCCATCCATCCGACTGGCTTCCACAAACATGATCTCTCCACCTAATGGCGTCCAGGCCAAGCCGATCGCTACGCCTGGTTGATTCAGCCGCACGGACACCTGGCAGAAAGGAGAGGCAAGCCGTTCACAAGGCATCCTTTATCTGACCTGCCTCTAGAGTGACACCTGCATGAAATTCTTGGGTATAGAAGGGGCCAAAACCTGAAATGCTAAACTATGAGGACCCAGACTGTTGAGGGATTGTTGACTCTGCAAACCGCTTAGAGAGGGCTGTAAAACACTGTGAAGCGGTATATAAGTCTAAGAGCTATTGTCCTGCCCTTCCCTTCCCCTTCCTTCCTTCCACAATGGTTGAATGCAGTAATGTGGTATATAAGTCTAAGTGCTATTGCTGGCAAACTCTGCCCACTGCCAGCAGTTCAATTCTCATCAGCTCCAGGTTGACTCAGCCTTCCATCCTTCCGAGGTGGGTAAAATGAAACCCCAAATTGTTGGGGGCAAGAGGCTGACTCTGCAAACCTCTTAGAGAGGACTGTAAAAGCACTGTAAAGCAGTATATAAGTCTAAGGGCTATTGATATTTGCTCTGGCACACGACTAACCAGATACAGCTTTTTCACCGTTGGGTGGGCCAGGCTAGGCAGAATACAACTCGCTTATTCTTAATGGTATTACAGGCCATCAATGTATAGTACAGATAGTCCTCAACTTACAACTGTTTAGTAACAGTTCGAAGTTACAACGGCACTGAAAAAGTGACTTATCTCCGTATTTCAAACTTACGACCATCCTTATGGCCACATGATGAAAATTCATTTTGCCCCCTTCTGACAAGCGAAGTCAATGGGGGGAAGCCAGATTTCACTTAACAACCGTGTTACTGGCTCAACAATTGCCGTGATTCACTTAACGGGTGTGGCGAGAAGGGTCGTAAAATGGGACAAAGCTCATTTAACAAATGTCTCACTTATTAAGAGACCTTTTAGGCTCAATTCTGATCGTAACTACCTGTAATTCCACACATAAAGTCATTCTGGTTTTAAACCTTAAAGCGCTGTGCAATTTGGGGTGTACTGTAGACCTTAAATGTCAGCACACACACACACACACCCTCCAGGTAAGCCAACTGAAGCCGTATTTGAAGGTCCTTCTCCGGAGACTGCCACCTCATTTTGCGATGAAGGCAGCAATTAAAAAGGACCTTTTCAATTGCAACTCTTTAATTATGCTTAGGGTCAGATCTAATTACGGTGTGGATGCAAGCTCGCCAGGGAATCTCAAGGTTGCAGGAATGGAAGTTAAGAGAGAAGACGACAACGCCATCCCTGGCCAACCTCTCCGTATAGATGTATCCGTATAATTCCCAGAAATTAAGCTCACCTTAACTCTTTTATCTTTCAATATGCCTTTTATATCTATCTATCTATCTATCTATCTATCTATCTATCTATCTATCTATCTATCTATCATCTATCTATCTATCTATCTATCTATCTATCTATCTATCTATCTATCTATCACTGGTCCGATATTTATTTTATTTATTTTATTTATTTATTTATTTTATTTTCTCAAGCATGCATTTGATAATATATATATAAGTATAAACATGATTATACCTACATGAAATAGATACGAATAAAAGGGAACATTAAGACAGAGACAGTAGGCAGGTTGGTGCACTTATGCACGCCCCCTACAGACCTCTTAGGAATGGGGTGAGGTCAATAGTAGACAGTCTTTTTTTTTTTTTAAAAACAAGTTTTATTAAAAGTTTCAACAACAAACAAATCATTACATATTGAATCTTTCCCTGTTTTTCTACAATAATTTCCCCAATATTCTCATAAAACACAAACAAACACAAACAAACATAAAAAAAATCTTTTAGTAAAGTACCTTGGCCCCAGTTACCTCTCTTTGCATGGGCTAAAATAATAACACATATCACTCTTCACATTTCTATCTTATTTAATCCATCTTAATTAAATCATTAAATTTGTATCTTTTGCCCATTCATTTATCCCTCTATCTCTTCTTATAATAAAAGAAAAAATTTCTCCTGAAATCACTAATCAGAGTATGATGCCTTTCTATCCTCCCCCTAAGTTAGTAAAATTAACATTCAACATAACAAATACCCAATTTGGTTCTGCTTGGTACATTCTATCCACCAAAAATGTTTAAATACATTGTATCCTCCTTTCCTTCGATATTTTATTACATTTTAAAAATCAATCATTAATAAAAACTTCAACATTTTAATTTCTTATTAAATCTTAAAACATTCTAATTTACTATTTCAAATATAAATATTACAATACCATCTTCTGTACCTTAGCAGAATCTTTCTTACAGAAAATTATATTTCATCCTTTATCTCTAAAAAAAATCCCTCTTCTCCCATCCAATTTTAAAGCTTTGAGGCTTTTCTCCGCCTTTCCCCTTTCTTTCTTCCCCCACCAAATCTTCCTACCCCCCCTTCTTCTTCTAACCTTAACAGTCTTAAGGTTAAAGTTTTTGCGGGTTTGGGGAAGGAACCACAGAGTCAGGTAGACATTGACCACTCTGTTGTTAAAGTCGTATTTCCTGCAATCAAGTTTGGTGCGGTTTACCTTGAGTTTGTATCTATTGTGTGCTCTTGTATCTGCAATACCTTTGCAAAACAGTTATTTCAAATCTATTCCCCCCACCCCCCCAAGGTTTTATTTCAGAATTCGACTCCCTTCCTTTCCCTAAATTTTGATTCTAGTCTCCTTTCGCGGGAGCTGTGCAGAGCACCAGCGCTTTGTGAGCTTACTGGCCTAAGGTATTCGTTTTAAAAATATTTCATTTGGAGAGGGGGGGGGTCTTCTTCCCCTTCCAGAAGGCTAATTGATTCCATTAATTTAGGTTTTCGGTTTCTCTTCCTCCGGCCAAGTGCTGACAGGCGAGGTCTAGATTTCCTGCTCGCTATTGATGGCAGAGGGGAGGTCAGAGGTGAAAACTCTCTGAGCCAAGGAGAAGAAGGGGGGAAAAAAAAAAAGAAAGAAAGAACGAGAGGCCCACAGAGAAAGCTGGAGGAAAGACAAACAAATGGAACCAAGGAGGAATGTTTTCCACTGGGACCCCACAAAAGAAAAAAAAATCCATGGCAGTTAAGGCCGGCCAAGGAAGCTGTTTCAGCACATATTGTTTGAGGCTGCTACCTAGTGATATTGGCTAATGGCCACACTCAGATGGTGACCATCTGGAGCTGCTTTCAACTCTCCACTGGTCCAGAATGCGTATATATTTCTTGAAGATTTAATCTGGGGTTCCAAAGCCACTGGATCCCTTCTCACCCGAGGCCTATATTTTAATGCAGCTATCACAGGTAGACACGTGACAAGTAGTTCGTATGTATCACTGCAGTTGTCCCCAAAGATGTTTTTTTCAGGAGGCAACTGGTCTTCTTGGGTTGTTGTTTTTTGAAGACGTTTCACTTCTCATCCAAGAAGCTTCTTCAGCTCTGACTGGATGGTGGGGGAATGGAAGCATTTATACTCCTTGCAGACAGCTGGTCATTTGCATCCTTTTAGAGGGTCGTTGAGGCCACTTGGAGGTTTATCTGAGTCCTCAGGGTCACCTGAATAGCGCAAATGGTTCCTGTAGTCTGCAAATATTTTCCCTCTGGAAATCCATTCCTACTCCCAACACCATTCAAAGGGCGTCCATCCCAAATTGTATAGCTAAATCACTGCAGTTGTTAAGTTAGGAAACAGTTATTAACTGAATCCTGCTTAACCGCTGACTTTTCTCAAAAGGGGATGACATGACCTTTTTCTCTAGCCAAACCCAAATCCTGCAACCGTTCTTCCAAGGGTTTTATGTCTCTGGGCCTTTGATCGTCTTAGTTGCTCTTCTTCGCACTTTTGTTTTGTTTTGTTTTGTGAAGCTCCCCAATCGAGACAGACACACTTTGGGTTTTGCCCCCAAGGCCAGCTGTTTGACTTGCGTGAGCTTTCAAAAGCTTCAGAGTCTAGGGAGGGGGAGGATCCCACCTTTGCAAAGACTTTCCTACCAACCGAGCAACAGCCGATTCGCACAAGCCGCACAGCCAACCAAGCAGAGCAAAGCTCCCCGAGCCAACAGAAGAAAACCAAGAAGAAGTCGTACCTCCAGGTCATACATTGGCGGGCCCAGGATGTCCTTCAAGGCATGGAAGTCAATTAAAATGGGCATTTCAGGGGGCAGAGCTAGGTCGGAGGCGTCGTGGAGGGTTTCCGGTTTGGGCTCTTCTGCGTTGTGTTCTTTCCAATCTGGAAGATAATTAAAAGGAAAAAAAAATATTGTTCGTTTTTGTCAGAGCGTTTGCAGTACGACAAACCATTATGAGACAAACCAGAAGCAAAACATAGCAGATAGAGATACACGGTAGGCAAAATAACTTACAAGCAAACTTTCTTTCTAACTCTACATGGAGAAACTCCGCAATGAATACCGGACACAAGGAGAGAGAACACACCCTCTGTAATGGCTGCCTTATATGAACGCCTCTTAAAGGGACAGAACCCATCCCCAATCTTAAAGGGAAATACCCATGCTATGCTGAATCATCTTCATTTCATCAGCTTAACATTGCATTAGACTTACAGCATCTGGCAGCTATTACTGCTGCTGGTCAGCTCTTAAATCTTAATACCTCAACAGCTTTCCTACCTGAAAATGGGAGGGAAGAAAACCCATTTTGATGGCAGCGTCCAAACTGAATGATCATATTCCATCGAAGAACAATATTCTTGACTTAGCAATAGAACATTTAATGACCAAAGTTACAACAGTTCATTCAGTGACCGTTGAAACTTATGACTGCACTGAAAAAAAAGTGACATGACTATTTTTTCACAGTTGTGGCTGTTGCAGCATCCCCAGGGTCACATGATCAAAATTCAGATTCTTAGCAACTGACTCATATTTATGACGGTTGCAGTGTCCCGGGGTCACGTGATCCCCCTTTGCGATCTTCTAACAAGCAAAGTCAAAGGGGAAGCCAGAGTCACTTAACAACGGTTTCACTAATTTAACAACTGCAGGGATTCACTTAACAACTGTGGCAAGGAGAGGTGATAAAATGGGGCAAAATTCACTTAGCAAATGTCTCACTAAACAACAGAAAATTAGGGCTCAATTGTGATCATAAGTCAAGGACTACCTATAAGAAGCCAAAATATGACTAATCCTTTGGGTCATGCATGCAATCCGGACAAGCAAACATTGTTTAAAACCCGGCAGAATCTAATCTTGATATATAAATGTTGTGTTCCACGAAAATGAATTCATCTTCTAGACCAACTTTTATTCCAGACTGGGACAGAAGTTGAAGACAGACTGGGATTTGATACCACGCCTGAAACCATGGTTTGCTGAATAAGCCAGGGTTATGTCTTTCAATCAAAGCAAACTAACCACAGCTTCTTTAGCCAATTTCTCATTTGTTCTCCCTCTCTGCAGAAACCTGCTTTCACTTGGCAATTTTCTAGACTGAACAAGCCAGGAAAACATTAAAACTAAACACAAATAAACCATGCAGCCTGTGTTCACACCTTGGCCTAAACTACAGCATCGGTTGGTAAACCAACAATTAACTCTGATTTCAATCTGATTTCTTGCCTGCACATGCACTACTATTACTTCCCTGAGCCTTGTTTGCACGTTATGTTGTCCACAAAAGCACAGTGGGCTGAGCTTCAAACAATATCTTGGCCATAATACAATTTCCTTTTGTTATTTTTGGCGTAATGTCAGAGCCAAATTTTTGTTTTGGCTCTTGTTTAGTTCACACTCTTGAATTAATATCTCATGGAAGAAGTTTTTTTGATGGATTATGCCAAGTTTGGGGTTCTTTTACAGCAGGGTTCTTCAAGCTTGGCAACTTTAAGATGCATGGACTTCAACTCCCAGAATCCCCATCTAGCCTTTGTTAGTTTATAAGTAACTCAAGGTGGTGAACATAGCTAATACTCCTTCCTTCTCCTGTTTTCCCCACAGGGACAATCCTGCAAGGTGAGTTGGGCTGAGAATGACTGCCCAAACTCACCATGCTTTCACGTGCAGGACTAGAACTCTCCATCTCCTAGTGATTGGCCCAAAGTCAACCAATCAGCTTCGCTGCCTAAGGCAGGATTAGAACTCTCCATCTCCTGGTGATTGGCCAAAAGACAACCAACCTGCTTTCATGTGTATGGAAGGACTAGAACTCCCCATCCCCTGGTGATTGACCCAAGTCACCCAGCCAGCGTTCATGCCTAAGGCAGGACTAGAACTCACAGTCTCCTGGCGATTGACTCAAGTCACCCAAGACTCCTATTTCTGCTGCCTACCCAACTGGAATTGAAGCAAGCTTTCACCATTCACAATTCATGGCCAGTAATCTGGATTCAGCTTGATGGTTGAAGCAATGCATGTCTCCATGACAAATTTCATGTTCAGGACAAATCCGATTCACTCCGGCATTGGCACAGACGCCTCCTCTTCCTCCTCCTCCTCTTTTCTCCTCCCCTTCCTCCTCCTCCTCCTATTCTTCTTCTTTTCTCCTCCTCCTCCTCTCTAATTTTTCAAACAAAGGGGGGAAAAAAACCCCTTTGCTTGTCTGGGAGTCGGGGATGCGATTCAAATGCCAGCACCAGGCAAAGGGCAAGCCTTTTGCCTGCCCATTTTGGCAGCTTCCCTTTCATTGCTCTGGTTTTGCCGGCTGCCATTTCAGACCACACAAAGGCAAGGCGGTCAGCAGATTTCCTCCAAATGGTCAAACACAAAGACCAAAACGGGGTGGTAAAAAAAAAGAAAGAAAGAAAAAGGAAAAAACCCACCCTTGAATTTTACACCATTTGGAAAACATTCCGCTTGCTGTTCCTTTCCTTGCTGGCAGCAATTTCCAGGTCCAGTTTCTACCCTGTGAATAGCTTCATTTGCTGAATTGTGGGGGGAGAAGGGGGTGGGGAGAAGTGGGGCTGGGGGAAGGAGATGCAGAAGACAAAGCTCCCTTTTTGTCCTGCGTTTAGTAGTAAACACGTCCCTCTAATGTTGCAAGGGAGAAGCTTCCCGCCTCTTCCACTGGTAACCACAGAAATCTTTTTTTAAAAAAATGCATCTGGAGCCGGGGATGTTTTGAGAGGGGATGAGAGTTGACTTCAGAATCAGACTAGAGACAGAAGGGACCTCGGAGGTCTTCTAGTCCAACCCTCCGTTCGAGCAGGAGACCCTATCTCATTTCAGACAAGTGGCTGTCCAGTCTCTTCTTAAAAACCTCCAGTGATGGAGCAACCACAACTTCTGTTCCACTGGTTAATTGTCCTCCCTGTTAGGAAGTGTCTCTTCAATCCCAGGTTGCTTCTCTCCTTGATTAGTTTCCACCCATTGTTTCTTGCCCTGCCTTCTGGGGCTTTGGATAAATAAGTGGGCTATCACCATCACAGGTCATCCTCAAGTTACCACCATAATTGAGCCCAAGACTGGTGTTGCTAAGTGAAACATCTGTTAAGTGGGGTTTGCCCCAATTGATGATTTTTCTTCGCCAAGCTTAGGGTTAGGGAATGGCGGATGCAGCAGAAACAAGAACTCCACTGCACGGGGCAACCAGGTTTTGTATACAAACCTAGATCAGGAATGGGGAATATGATGGTCTTCTTTATGACCTGTGGACCTCGACACCCAACCATGGAATTCTGGGAGTTGGAAGTCCGTAGATCGTAAAGGGGGCCGTCATTCCTTACCCCTGGCCCTAGATGGGGAGGGGGGAAACACAATCTGAAACATATCCACATGGATTTTTCTCTGACCATTCCCATATGAATGGAAAGTCCTCCATCGGTGACTACTTTGTTTTGCCAATCTTGCTTTCAAGAGTGACTTTTAAGCTTTCCTATTTTAAGCTGGGCCTTTTGATTTAGGCTAAGAATAAATTCAACTCTTTTTTTTTTAAATTGCTCCTTTCTCCTTTGGAAGAAAAGAGGGCTGGGAACAGAAATACGACAAATAATTAAAATGTGCTTTAAAAGTTGCTTTCGAAATATATAGCCACAATTATTAGATGCTTATGTAGGCATAGCCAGTAAGAAAACATGAGGAATATGCCAATAAAAATACTTGTGAAAGACGCAGGCTGACATCTGTTTCTCTCTAGAGCGCAGAGGGTGTGAGTCATACAAACTTATGGGTAGCAAACTCTTCATCAACTTCTCCGTTGCCACCCAAAAGAGTCCCATCTTTGAAAAAAATGATTTGAGGTACAAGTTCAAGAGGTTAAAATGTTCTCACGTTGCACAGAGCTCTATAAAAATATACCTCCAAGTCTGGAGACTTGGTGACAGGATACGTTCTCTTCAACGTCTAACAAGTTTTCAGCCAGACATTTAAAAAACAAAAAAAATCACTGCTCTAGAATAATGCTAAGTCTGCAGCCAATATAAATACGCCTGAATAATCAGTGAGTCTTAAATCTCAGGTTATATTAATATGTGGGAAACACACGTGGGTTCAAAGTTTTCATCGTAATAGAGACAGGCACATTTTTCAAGAGAGCTTATAAAAAAATCCTGAACGTACCTATTGTGAGTGTTGGAGCTCACAGATAAAATACCTGCTATGGCAGATAATTTTCTGTTTCTATGGCAATCCACTGAAACAAATACAAATCTCCAGCAATACTATCGGGATCGAACTCCAAAACAAATCAGAATTGGATTTTACTTTTAGCCAAAAAAAAAGTTTTTTAATCTTGTGAGGCTGGAAACGGTAAATGGAAGGCAGAGTGAACAGGAGAAATCTTTCCACAGTGACAGACACAGTTAAACCAGATATTTTCAATTCTTTTTGTTTCCTTCCAAAAAAATTGTTAACTTGCAGAAAATGACTGCCTTATTCCATGGCAATTGGGAGGCTATCAAATAGTAGAACACAGAATAATGGAGTTGGAAGGGACCTGGGAGATCTACTACTTCAATCCCTTGCCCGAGCAGGAGATCCTGTATCATTTTTGCAAACGGTTGTCCAGTCTCTTTTTGAAAACCTCCAGTGATGGAGCACCCACAACTTCTGAAGGCAACCTGTTCCGTTGGTTAATTGCTCTCCCCGTTAGGAAATTTCTCCTTCGTTTAGGTTGCTTCTCTACATGGTTAGTTTCCAACCATTGTTTTTTGCCTCCTCAGGTGCTTTGGAAAATAGTTTGACCCTCCTGGTTTTTGTAGGAGCCCCTCAAATATTGGAACACTGTTATCATGTCTCCCCTAGTCCTTCTTTTCTTAGACTTGACATACCCAATTCCTCTAACCATCCTTCGTATGTTTTAGCCTCCAGCCCCCTAATCTTTTTTGCTGCTCTTTCTCTGCACTCTTTCCAGAGTCTCCGTTAATAACTAAGAATTGATAATAATTAAGATTAGTATTCCGCTCGCCCCTGGGTAGCAGCTTATTAGCTGGAAGCACAGCCTTTGAAAAATAACACAGAAAGAGGGAAGAAACTCACAACACATGGAGATGTAAACCCACCCTTGCTTCAGAGATCAAATTGTGAGCCGAGCAACTGCTTCGGTCGCGCATTCACCTCTCAGCTATATACTCAGCTAAGATTTCCTTCTGACAGCAGATGTGGGGCAGATAATTCTCCTGTCTGCCATGAGAGATGAATGCCAAACACCTGGAAACGTTGCAGTTTTATTTCAGTGACGGACAAAACTATGCAAATCTAAAACTCAAAACATGGCAAGGGCCCCTTCTTGAGAAACTATCCAAGCTGGTGAGAGAGCTCGAGATCGGCCAGAATTTTTAAGAAAAGAGAAAGACGAAAACAATTTAAAAATAAATAAATAAAAATAAGGCAGCTTACAAACCTCCTTCTGTCCCTTCCGAGCGATCCAGCCTTGTCTCCTTGTGCTGGCTTTCGGCCACTTTGACGGCCACTGCCCGGCAAATGGCTCCCAGTTTGCGATCCAGAGAACGAACTCCAGCCTCTCGGGTATAGCTAGCAAAAAGCAACGGACAAGGATCGCCTTTCAGTGTGTGAACGGAAGCAAACTTCACCCAGAAATCTTGGAAATGGCTATGGACGTTACTAGCTACCCTGAGGGGTCTGCAAATTATCTAAATTGCAAAACAATACAGGCCAAGGGTTGCAATGAAGCCATTTCTGCGCCTCAGTAGTTCTGCAGAGGATGCCAATTGTGTTCCCTGCAATTGTGGGGGTGAAACTCACAATGAAGACGTGGTAGAATTTATCTATGGAGATTCTTGGTCATCTGGTTCATGGTTGCCCCAAAGGTGCTTTTTTTCAAAAGGCAACTGGACTTTGTTTTTCCTTGAAGATGTTTTGCTTCTCATCCAAGAAGCTTCTTTAGTTCTGACTGAATGGTGGAGGATGGAACTATTTACATTCCTTGCAGCCACCCCACCACCATTCAGCCAGAACTGAAGAAGCTTCTTGAATGAGAAGAAAAACATCTTCAAGGAAAAACAAAGTTAAGTTGCCTTTTGAAAAAAAAAAAACCATCTTTCCGACATGGCAGAATTTGGTTCTCAAAGTAAAATAAAGATAATCATAGATGATAAGCACACAAATTGGAAACGGTAAGCTAGGATCACTGATCAGCCCTAAACTCTGCTTCTTCTAAGACAACCTCAACACACACACAAACAAACACAGCTACTATTGCGTTGCTTCTCTCCCTTGCAAATCTCTTTTCCTTTCTGAAACCCAAAATGAGGAGATCTGTTCAAAGACTCAGCGTGAAAAAGTCATTACCTTTGCCTGTGGTTTTTTTTTTTTAAAAAAAAAAACATTGTCTGCCTTTTCTGCTAATCATCCAACTAGTAATAATAGGTAACTGATGTTTGGTATTATTACTACTATTATTGTTATACCGTCTGAACTCCCAATGACCCTGGGAGTTTTGCAAATTTAAAATATAATTTAAGAATGAAGACCTTGTATTAATGAGCAGGGGCATGGATGCTACCAAACCCTGCTCTTCCAAAGCTCTCTGATAGTACAATATTCCAAATTTAGAACTGCTCATTTCCCACAAGCAACAACAACCAAAAGAATGTTGCACAGAATTGAAAATGCAGAAAATCATTACCGGGTGATAATCACCAGTGTTGTTTCTTGGGGTATCTGAACCTGTTGCGGAGTGAGACCATGCTGTTCCAGCTGCTTCGGAATCAAATGCCGATGTGCAATTTCTATCTTCTCTTCTTGTGTGTATCCTTTGAAACGGTGCGGTGAGAAGAGAGAGGAGCTGACATTTAGAAATGCCATACCTACTGAATAGATGATCATCCAGAAAATCTCAAGACTGTGCAGAAATGGACAAACTAACCCTAGCCTTAAAAAATAAAGATTCTTCAACATATTACAACAATTGGAATTGCTGGTATAAATGGTTAGACCAAAGATAGACTATATATTATAAAGTTAAAAAGAATGGGACAAACTTATATGAGTGCAATCTAAATACAGATATGGATAAGATGTGCGTATATGAGATAAAACAAGAAGAGAAAAGATCTTACAAACTGTCGAAAATGAGAATGTTTTTAACTGTTCACTTTCTCTGCTTTGTCTTTTCTTCTTTTGCTTTTCTTTTCGCGTTTCTTTCTTTTTCTTTTGTTCTTTTCTGCTATTTGTGTTTGTGTTGTTGATTTGTTTTTAATTGTAAATTCAATAAAATTTGGTAAAAAAAAAAAAAAGAAATGCCATTTTAAAAGACAGCAACCTTGGTTTGAAAGTGAGAGAAAAGGCCGAGACGAGATATTCCAGACACCTGTTAAGGTGACTTAGTGTAGTTAAGTCCTTGACTTGCAGTGGCAACCAGGGTGGGAACTTCCGTCACTCAGCCAGGTGGTTGTTAAGTGAGGGAATGCCCAATTTTTTACGACCTTTTCGCCATGATTGTCAGGCGAACTTGACTTTCCCTCAACAACTTTATTTGTCAGAAGGCCTCTGGGAACAGAATGGGGCAACTCGCTGAGGCCGACTTGTCCCCAGCCAACTTGACCCTGGGAAAACTCACCGCAGGACAATTCAACGTGGATGTCAACTCATAAAACATTCCTGTGCCAGTTTTTTAGTTGGCCATATTAAAAAAGGGGGTGGGGGGGGGGGGAGGAAATCTGGAAGAGCAGTGTAGCAGTTTGGAAGCAAAAGTACATTCCAACTCTTATCTTTAAAAGATTGTAACTAAAATACCAGACCTTTTGCTCACAAATATATTTAATTGGAGAACGTGAATGATGACACCCAGCCCTGAACATGCTCAATTGGAGAATCTGATTTATGACACACCCAGGGGGGAAAGGGGAATCAGGGTCACAGGGGACTATGAATTACCTATGCCAGAGTTGGCTTCATACAGGGCAGGGCCAGTAATTCGCCTCTCATAAATCCTTTGAAGTTTTTTGAAGTTTGGCTCGAGAATCATGATTTACTTAGGGCAATTGCTGGAATCCTGACAACGGGATAATTCAAGGGAGGGACAAGTAGAATTGCAGCTCACCATCCCCGCCCAGCCTCGAGGACTTCTAACCTGAGAAGGTTCAAACCTAAAGCAAGACAAGCCCCTTTGCAATTCACTTGTCTCTCTCTTGAGTCATGCCGTGTTTGAATTGTCCCACAGTGGGTTTTTCCATGGGGAGTTGTCCCGTGAGGAGTTGGCTGGGGTGAACTGTCCTAGCCCACCTCGCCCCAGGAAGATTGCAAATGGCGATCACATAGGACCCTGGGATGCTGCAACCATTGTAAATACTTGACGCCATTTTGGGAGCATCTTCAGGGCTGGTTGGAGCTGTGGGAACGGGAGGGGCAGGGGTGGGATTCTATCGGTTCGGACTGGTTTGGGTGAACCGGATGTTTTCATCTGGTTTGCTGAACTGGTATTTCAACCAACCGGTTGGCCCTGCCCACCCCTCCCCTCCCCGGAGGTCTCCACTCAATGCAGGTAAGTGCAGGGTCTGTGTGGCGGCTCTGGGAGGGGGAAAAACAGGCCTTCCGGAAGTCCAGAAACGGGCCTGTTTCTGGCTTCCAGAGGGCCTCCAGACCCTCGGGGAGGCCGTTTTCGCCCTCCCAGAAGCCCAGGGGAGGCCTCTGGACCCTTGGGAGGGTGAAAAACCGCCCTCCCAGAAGTACTGAGTCTGGAAATGGGCCTGTTTCTGGCTTCCAGTGGGCCTCCAGACCCTGAGGGAGGCCGTTTTTGCCCTCCCAGAGGCCCAGGGAAGCCTCTGGACCCTTGGGAAGGCGAAAAACGGCCCTCCCGGAAGTTATGGTAGGCTACACCCACCATGTCCACACCCACCCAGCAACCAGGCAGCGAACCAGTCGCTGGGATTTTTGAATCCCACCCTTGGGGAGAGGGGGTTCTATAGGGAGCTCGGGACTTGTAGCCAAAATAGAATTATTTCTCCTAGGAACCAAGGATGTTCTCACCAGTTGCCGGGGAGGCGTGGACTGGAACCAACTGGATTTGGGGATATGATTGGATTGGACCCTGTGATGGACACATGGATTGGGGAAAAGAACTATGATTTTTAATTTGGGTGGGGAAAACCGTGGGACCTTCAGAGTCGGGTTTTCACCAGACGGGCCAATATGACACACCTAATAAATCTGTGCTTTGAGGAACCCCTAGGCCTCAACAGGTTTGATTGCATTGGGTCTATTACTTGGAACTCTGACATACGTCCCCTCTCTCGGAGATGCGCACCTGTGCAGTCACACCTACACATGACAGTGATTCGTGCTTGGGTTACCTGGAACCTGAATGATCTCCATTCTGTCCAACAAAGCCGCTGGGATGGTGGCAGTGGTATTAGCAGTGGCTATGAAGAGGACTTGAGACAGATCGAATGCTACGTTTAAGTAATGGTCGGTGAAGTTATGGTTTTGCTCGGGATCCAAAACCTTTTAAAAGCAGAAACAAACAAACAAAAAATAAGTTGTTTTTTTTAAAAAAAATTACCTTGCCTATTTAATTAGTCTCATTTAGCTAAATACATACGGCTACGTTTTTTTTAATGCATCATCACGTCACACAAAAAAGAAAACATAATCGTAGGATGATTTCTAAACAGTAGCCCAAAAGATCTTTTCTTTTTTTTTAAGGTTCACTTGGCCTCTCCATAGTTCTAGATATGCAGTATATTTCAAATTCTATTCGTCGTTTTAACCTCTTCAGAAGAAAATATGCTTCAGGGATGGAAAGAAAGTGACAGTTCAGAGAAGGCAATTGGGCCAGGTTTTTTTTTTTATTTAAGCGGATCCTTGTAAAAGGACTAAGACGGTAGAAATATGGGCCATACCATTTCGGTCCAGAGATGGGACTGAAATGGTATGGTCCAGATACCTTTCAATTCTGTAACACTGAGAAGAAATTTGAGGTTTCCAACTCTCCTTGATGAGAAACAGTTCCAGTGCTGAAAAAAGAATCATGTAAAATTAGGATATGGCTATAAAATTAGGATATGGATCTGTATGATCCCAGGGACGAGCTCTGTTACATTAAGACGTGATGAACAAGATCCACTCCCAATGGGAGGACAAGACTTTGCAGCTGCAGCTTTGTTTTGGAAGAAGGCACTCAACCCACAATCCAGAGAACTTGTCAAGTCAACAAAACTGCTTGAGGGCAAGAGAAGAAGACACCCAAAATGAATCATACATAAGGGACTTAACTCTCTATAGGTGGAAAGAAGCCAGAAACTCTGACAGCTTTCAGAGTCTATTCTAAGATCTCTAGCAACCTTCCATAACTTCCAGATTGGTTGGGGCTATGCCTTCCAAGCCAATAGAGAGAAAGCTGCTTTTCAGAAAGTATTTCCAACTTTAAATTGACAGTGTTTGCTAGTAAAATATTTATATGCCTCTTACAATCCATAAGCATACAGCTACAGGTTAGTCTTCCACTTAAAGGCCACAACCGAGCCCAAAATTTATCTTGGTAAGCAAGACAGTGGTTCAGTAAATTTTGCCTCTTTTTACAACCTTTCTGGCCACCGTTGTTAAGTGAATCACCGCAGTGACTTTGCTTGCCTGAAGGTCGCAAAAGGGGATCAGGTGACTCTGGGACAATGCAACTCCTTCCCTCAAAACGACGCTATAGAGCACTGCACACCAGAACAACTAGACACAAGGACAGTTTTTTCCCGAACGCCATCACTCTGCTAAACAAATGATTCCCTCAACACTGTCCAACTATTTACTAAGTCTGCACTACTATTACTGTTAATCTTCTCATCATTCCTTATCACCCATCCCCTCCCACTTGTGACTGTATGACTGTAACTTTGTTGTTTGTATCCTTACAATTTATATTGACTGTTTCCTAGTATGATTTGACTGCTTATTGTACCCTATGACTATTATTAAGTGTTGTACCTTATGATTCTCGACTCTTGATGAATGTATCTTTTCTTTTATGTATATTGAGAGTATTTGCACCAAGACAAATTCCGTGTGTGTCCAATCACACTTGGCCAATAAAGAATTGAATTCTATTCTATTCTATTCTATTCTATTCTATTCTATTCTATTCTATTCCATTCCATTCCATTCCAATTCCAATTCCAATTCCAATTCCAATTCCAATTCCAATTCTATTCCATTCCATTCTAATTCTATTCATATTGCTGCACTGTAATAGTTTTTATTCTGTCTATGTACCACTTCAACAAATGTAAATGAAAAACTTTGTAAACCACATCGGACAAATAAATATTGAAACTTATGGTTATGCCACTGAAGGCTCCCTCAGTTTCTCATTGTTCGGTATTAATTCCCTTAACTCCAGCCAACAAGCCGCATTCTTTCAAATTCATGCGTTTCCACTTCAGTGTATTTCTTGAGATGTGTTAAGCAAGCCATGTTACGTTACTGTGAATAATTCTCACGTAATACAGGATGGAACTTCCACAATGCCCGAGCTATGGCATGCTTGCTGTCAACATAATTTATCCTTTCCATTATGGAATGAACACACATCCTTTTTGCTTATCGGCTTGAATTATGGCCTGGAAGAGTGCTGCTAATTAAAATTATATATCACACATGAACAGGGCTGGGGTTTGAACATTTGTCAAAGACAGAAAGCCATCTCAATTAGCTTTTCTTACTACAACTTTTAAAATTAATATAATACACGGGAAGAGTTGAGGGAGAATCAGCAGCCCTGCCAGACAGACAAATCCTAATATTTGTGTCGAAAGCTTGTTCCGTAGCTATTCAAAATAGCAGAAAAGGCACCAGAAAATTGTTCCTTCCCTGTCTTTGTAATAGAAATCAGCTACTTGATCAACTACTTTTACATTGCAGAGATCTGAAATTAACCTCCAGCTAACCGAGAAAGCTTAGACCCAAAGGTGTTTTTTTCAAGAGGCAATTGGGCTTTCTTGTTTGTCTGTAAAGATGTTTCACTTCTTATCCAAGAAGCTTCTTCAGCTCTGACTGGATGGTGGGGAAATCGAAGGATTTATACTTATAGATTCCCCACCATCCAATCAGAGCTGAAGAAGCTTCTTGGATGAGAAGTGAAATGTCTTCAAAGAAAATCAAGGAAGTCCAGTTGCTTCTTGAAAAAAATAAATCTTTGGGACAACTGTGACCTGGATGACTGAGAAACTTCGTAGAGAAAGCTTGGAGTAATTTGCAATTTCCAGCAGTTTCCCTTCTCATGAAGCGAAGCTTTCATTCACAGGATTTAAGACAGAATCACAAACTTTGCACTAAATTCGTCGGCATACAGGTGAAATTGCCCAGGGGGGAAAAAGTTGCTTTTTTCTAAGAACGGTATCACTGCCTTAAATTAAGTTTTATTTAGCTTGACTTTCGGTTTTCAGTCACGGTGGAGGCTTTGCAAAAGTCATGAAGAAGGTGTGAAGGTAATAATCTGCCCTATTTATTTTACTATCAAAAGACTGTTTGCACATACGAAAAGATTCCAGGGACCACTGCGATCCTTTATCACCTGAGCACGAAAGAAAGGTATCATCTTCAGGCTCTTGGTTGCAATGTTGTTGTTGTTGTTTTGGGGTTGTTGTTGTTGTTGTTGGCATGAAAATAAGAGTAAAAAAGAAGCTTTTGTGCATTCGGAATTCCTATTCCCATAACAAGCAGAATAATCTCTGCAAACATTTAAAGGCTGGCCGATACTTTCTGCACAATTTCTCTTGTCTACAAAAACGGTCTCCATTAAGAAGCACTCTGATTCCTTTTTGTCCACTCTGACCTTCAAGAGAGGACATCTAAATATAGAATGAATGTTTCCTTGTTGAGAACAAAACTGGAAATATGAAGACATTCCACTCTGATCAAGCAACCAATGCACCTTGACCTTAAGCCAACACATTGAAAAACTCCAGCCTTTTCCCCAGCTACATGTGGCAGAATCTATTTATTCAATTAATTCGTATTTAATTGAACCCCATTTTTCTGAATGCTTCAGGTATGTTAACAGCCTTCTTTCTGGTATTTAGGAAACTAACGTATTTCCTCACCTGCATAAGGGCAGATTGTTGCCAAACAGTTAGGGAAGTGCTTTGACCATCTGAAGCAGTTTCAGAAATATGAAATGAATTACTCTAAGGGATGCCTCCTATAAAACAGGGGTGAGCAGGCTCCACTTTCATTTTTAATATAACGCCGTGACCCACAAATCAGAGCATAATGCAAACATATGTTTACTTGGAATTACTCAGAAGAATTACAAGCTCGGGAATTTGCTTTGAAAGCCAAAATGAAATGCACAGCAACCACAATTCTTCCCCACGCCAATACAATCCTGGTTATCCACAACCTCCACAAGTTTCTTTTTAATATATAAATTTCAGCACTATGTAAAGATGGGATAAAACATTTGTTGCAGACGCTATTTAACAACCGAGAGATGTTAGCAATCTACTTCAAATCATATAAAATACCCAGATGTAGAATCTCTCTGATTTAGCCACAAGACTAGTAATAATCCTCTCTGTTTTGTTGTCCCAAACAGAGGCAGCTTTGTGATATAACACACTGAGAAAGTAAACAGAGTGACTTTTTACGTCTAATTATAACCATTCTTAACACCATAGCAATGCCAAGTTGCACCAAGCCATCCATCTTGTTTCCAAGGGAAAACAATGGTTTCCTAATATGATGGGATTGTAGTACTTGAGAAATATTTAATGAGGGGGAAAAAACTTGTCTAATGGCAAATGACTTGTAATTTTGTCCAGCACCAAATACTTGCTATTTCACCAATGCAACTGATCTGTTCTCCCTTTCTATTCCTGTTAAATAAAAATGCCCATCCTTAAGACTATTAATCCCACGTGCTTAAGTGCTTACTATCATGAGCTTCTCGTCCAAAATAGCTATCATTCTTAACATGTTCTCCTATATTAACTTAATTGGACTTTTTTTTATTCTAGAAAATAATGAATGGTCTCGTTTCATTTCTCTACCACAGACAGCCAATATGGATGCAGCGGGGATGTTCTGTTAAAATTAATGAATTGAACAATCATGCTTTTCATTTCACTTCAAAAAGCTAATCACTCTCTGTTTTAATAGTTTGAAAATAAACCAGGGATTCTCCTTTCCTGAGAGCTGAAACAGACATCAAGGACCCAAAATGTGATATTCTTTATGACGTGTTTTCCTTAAGAGGTGAAATTTACCTCAAATGTCTGTCAGAAAATCTATTTCATAACGTCCCTGTGTTGGAACCCTGACCCAAATATAATTGTTCTGCTTTTCTGTACAATCAAAGTGTGAAGCTCTGTGTGGTATTTGGAGTTAGAATAAACCCGGAAACTTGGCTTCTCGTTTCTCAAATCAAATACCCCTCTCTCAGGAAGACTTTCAAAGGGTTGAGCATGTCATGCCATGGAGCACAGTCCTTTCAAGGCCACAGGCCTGCCTTGGTTTCTTAAACATTGCAGAAAGAGTCCATTCCACAGGAATTTGGGCCTTTTAGGTGTCCTGCTTGAGCAGGGGGTTGGACTAGAAGACCTCCAAGGTCCCTTCCAACTCTAATGATGTTCTATGTCAGGGGTCTTCAACCTTGACAGCTTTAAGACTTGTGGACTTCAACTCCCAGAATTCCTCCTCCAGTCATGTTAGCTCAGGAATTCTGGGAGTTGAAGTCCACAAGTCTTCAAGTTGCCAAGTTTGAAGACCCTTGTTCTATGTTCGAGTGCAAGGGTGTCAAACTCAAGGCCTGGGGGCTGCATCCGGCCCATGGGATGCTTAGATCTGGCCCGTGGGCCCATCCTGGAAACAGCGAAGGACCAGCCCATGGTGCTCCGGGGCTCTGTTTTGGGCCACGATGGCCTCCTGCAACCCTCTGCCAGCAAAAACAGAGCTCAGGGAAGTCACACGTGGCCCTCCTGAGCTCCGTTTTCGCTGGCAGAGGCCTGCAGGAGGCCGTCATGGCGGAAAATGGAGCCTCGAGTGACATCGAGCTGGCCATGCCCCCCCCCCGGCCCCCCCCCCCCCCCCCCCCCAGCCGAGGTCAACCCTGATGTGGCCCTCAATGAAATTGAGTTTGACACCCCTGTTCTAACATGCAACTTGCAGAATTTTGGCTGAGAACATTGGAACTGAGGTCCTGACCCATCTGGAGAGCATCCCAATTCTTACCTCTAGTAATGCAGCTGCGGGATCACCTTGCAAGCTCTTTCCAAGCTTGTCCACCTCGTCCAGGAGAAAGACAGGGTTGTTGACCCCAACGGTCTTCAGGCCATTGATGATACGGCCAGGCATGCTGCCAACATACGTGCGCCTGGCAAAAAGGAAAAAAAAAAACGGGAAAAGTTGAGACGTTAAGAGTATTGAAAAACCGGAGATGTGAGCACGGCTCAAGTTATGTGCGCGTGCCATCCCACAATGGCTGCCTAAGTGGATGGAGTTTAGCAGAGATGGCTAAACTGACAGCTTTGATTAAAGAAATAGACGCAATGAAATTTGTTTCCACTTGGAAACCGCTTCTGGACTTTGTGCTCGAGGTGGGAGAAAAAAAAACACACATTGATTTTGGGTTTTGCCAATCAAATAGGTTCGGTGTTACAGAAATGGCTAGGATAAACTATTATATAGAAGTAAAAAGTTTAAGGTTTATGTTGTTATCTTATTTACCAAAAGGAAGTCTGGAAGTCAATTTTTTTCCTTCTACCCTATACTTTTCTCTTTTCCCTTTTCCTCTCTCATTTTACCTTTATTTTTTAAATACATTTTTGTGTTTTATGGTTTGTTAATAATTAATAAAAATTTTGAACTACCAAGTTATGCAAGCGCATCAGCAAGAGTGAGAAATTGCCCGAAAAGACAAAAATACATGGACTACGTTGTCATCCTGAAAAAGATTTATTCAAATGAAGTAACATAATCAGAGCTATGAAAATGTATCTAAGAGAATCGGATCAATTGTCCAGATTTATCTGCTTGATGGGAGCTTTGCAAGATCTCAGCAAAGAGACCCTCAGCAGCCCCCAAATTAGGCATTTTTGTGAAACAGCCCATCATTTCAGAAAAGTCACTTAATAAAGGCACAAAAAATAAAATGCCCCAACTGATTTTTTTAACTCTGAGGGCAAAATTGGACATTCAAACATCCTCCCGTGAGTTTTTGAATGCCAACTGATGGTGCTACCGATTTTCTTTACATTGTTAGTTTGATTAAACTAGAAGAGGACCAGTTCAAATCTGAATCAAGAACAGCTGGAGAGCAGGCCTGGATATAAGAAGGGTTCTATTCGAGCATGAGGATAAACCACACTTTACTGTAGCAGAAATAAATCCAGCCTCTGCTTAGACTTTGGGACAAGAAGGTTTTTTTATTTACAATAAAAATCTTTGTATAGATGTGTGTATGTGCATAGACAGAGTGACTTATTCTTATTTGCAATTTATGATATATTATCACTAAAAACACCCAGTAACGTCACATAGTGAATCCTTAGCAGAGTTCGTGAATTTCCTGCAACTAAATCTCACGCACCCAAAACATTAATCAAGTAAGGTGGGTGGATGATTATAAAACACCGTGTAACTTCCATTTAGCTAAAATGATGGAGAAAATGTGGCGTTATATAATGGGGGGTGGCTAATAAAATCCAGCTGGGGATGGAATGTTTTGCCAGCCTCCTTCCCAGGCCCCAAATGATGTCAGAGGGCAGGATATAAGCCAAGCTCCACCCCAAGTACAGAGAGAGAGAAAGGGGAGAGAAGAAAGAGAGAAAGAATCAGAGAGAGAGAAACAGAAACAGAGAGAGGGGGGGAGGGAGAGAGAAAGAATCAGAGAGAGAAATAAAGAAACAGAGAGGTGGGGGGAGAGAGAGGGAGAGAGAGAAAGAAACAAAGAGAAAAATAGAGAGGAAAACAGACAGAGAAACAAAGAGAGAGAGAGAGGAAGAGAGAGAGAAAAACAGAGAAAGAGAAACAGAGATAGAGAAAGAGGGAGAGGGAGAAAGAGAGAGAGAAATAGAGTGGGGGGGAAGGAGGGAGGGAGAAAGAGACAGACACACACAGAGAGAAAATATCTTGTTGCTTCTGCACTTTTTACCACTCAGTGAGACAGATTAAAAACTTTTCTCCCGCATGGAATAAGAAAAATAATTCTTCAAAGCAGTTGACTTGTTTATGTTCTCCCGCGATGTGTTTCCCCCCAATCTGTAGCATCCCGAGCCGCCTGGCCAGAAGGCTCAGAGGGTGTGTCCACCAAGTCCATACAAACAAGTTCCTAGCCCTTTTCGGTCTATTATTAGACCTAAAGAATGCAGACAATAAATGAGTTGTTTTCTTTTCCTTGGCCTGGCGCTGGCCGGGCTGGCTGGGACTGCAAAGCCTCTGGGTTAGTTAGCTGCCTCCCGGGACCAAAACACAAAACAGAACCAACATCAAACTTCTCCCAGACAGGATCCAAGTCTAAGATTTCCACCATCTCTCTCCAGCGTGCCTGGAGGGATTTAATAAGGACATGTTGTTTCGAAGGGATAAATGATGAGAAACTTTCTAAGCTCAGGGCAAAACCATTCAATATCTGGTTTCACAGAAAAGGATGGAGAGCCTTTCTTTCAAGTGAACCAGGCTAGGTAACCTGTGAGATTTTGACCTTTTTTTTTTTGGACGGAAATAACAAATACAGGTAGTCCTTGACCTACGAGCACAATGTTGCTAAGTGAAACATTGGTTAAGTGAGCTTTGCTCCATTTTATGACTTTTCCTGCCTGACAACTGCAGTGATTCAGGCAGGTCGTAAAGGGGGGGGGGACTCATTTAACAACTGTCTTACTTTAGCATAAAAAAACCTGGGTCATAAGTCAAGGACCACTTGTATAAGGAGTTAAAAATTATCGTGTTTTCCTCAGGAGCCATTTGGTTTGTTGAACAAGCCCAAGAGCCCGAGATGACAAATGAAGTGAAGGCATAAAGCACGGGTTCTCATTTGCAAAGCTTCGGCTGTCAAAAATGCTGAAACAAAATTAAACAAATGGAATTCTGGCTTAGCTGTCAAAATCTGAACCCAGCTAATCTGTCCCAACTGAAACAAAAATTTCTCTGAAAGTCTCTAAGCCGTTGAAAGCCGGTGCACAAGGAATCAGACAATGATTGAACCAGTCAGGAAGGAGGAAATTATTATAAAATGTACCTGCCCTGAAACAATTTCTCTATTTTTTTTCACTTACCCAAAGCCTGTAAATTATTAAGAATAGATAAAAAGGATAAAAAGGATTTTTAGGGAAGGGCACCAGAGAACAGTGGATGTCAAAAAGCAGTTCAACAAGACATATTCCCTTAAATCTACTGCAGTAAAACAAATCCACCAGACATTAAAGTGATGAATTTTAACTGGGTTGCATTCCTAAGAAGGTAGCCTGATGCATTTGGACTGGAGAAGAGCAACGATCAAAATCCTAGCAAGCCACAAAGGTCACTCTGCAACTCTTATTCTCTCTCTCTCTCCAAATTACCTTTGAGTTATTGCGGGGAAGAAATTCCACCATGGAAGGGGGAAAGAGTTCACCTCAATGCCTAACTTTTAGAGCCCTTTGGAAGGGGAGGGTAAATAAACTGTGAATAATGCTGCTGCAAATCGCACTCACTGAGTCAGCAAGGAAAAGCTCTCATTATATCCAAAGCACATCCTGCTTCGTGTACATAAGCAAAATGTGTCAAAAAGGCATCACGATTGATGGAATCATATCTGGGTAATGGATATTACAGGGAGGTCCCTTTTCACT